TATATACTTTTATTATTTAAAAAAATATATATATATATTTCAATGAGATTGTTAAGAAATTAATTATTCATACTGAACCTGACGTAATATTATTTCAAGGATACAAAACTAAAGAAAGGTTTCATCATTCAAATTCAAATATGAAATTCATTATTTTATTATTATTATTATTATTATTATTTGTTAAATTTAGGATACCCAAATAGGTGAATATGATATTCCAAAAGGTACAATGATCGTCCCATTGCAATGGTCCATTCATACAAATCCATCTTATTGGAAAGATCCTTTAGAATTTAAACCTGACAGATTTATTGCCGATGATGGTAGCCTTGCTAAGCCGGAAGCATTCTTACCTTTCCAAACTGGTAAGTAAATGCCAAAGATTTTGTTTTTCAATGTAAAAATGTCAAAATGTTTTATGGTGTTCATAGTACAAGAATAAATCATTTCTATGTGTTTAGAGGTTAGTTGCAGTCAACCAATTCCATTTGATTTTAACGTAAAACGTTCAATATCATTGTTCGATTAAATTAATGTTCGTTTTATTAAAGTAACAATTATTATTAATAATAAATTAAAAATATAAATAATTAGGAGTCTGATCCACACGTCTTTAAGTCAACGAATTACCTTATATCGCCATCTGTTAGAATCTTATCGAACTAACAGAGATAATCATGACTCTTTGTTAATAAACAAATAATTCGCGATTAATAAAATAATATTGCAATTATAAATTGAGATATAAACTATCCTATCTTTCAAGTTGGATGAAACTGCACACAGTGTGCAAAATTTGATTAAAATCGGTTCAGTTGTTTAGAAGTTCATTGCGGACAAACAACGTCACACGTAATTTATATATATTAAGAAGATATATTTTTCTTTTTCTTTTAGGAAAACGTATCTGTGTTGGTGACGAATTAGCAAAAATGATTTTGTTTTTATTCACTGCAAGGATTCTGCATCGATTTGTTATTTCAATTCCATCAAATGTATCATCGATTGATCTTGAAGGTGAATGTGGTATAACTTTGATACCAAAACCACATCGTTTGGTTTTTACACTACGTGAAAATCTTACCAATTGATTTGTTTATTTTTCTATTATATAATATTTTTATATAACAATAATTATTCATTTATTCGAAAGATATACAAATTGTAATGTAAAACTTGTCAATGAATAATAAAAAAAAAAAAGAAAACAAAAATTGTAATTTCAATGTGTTCAAAATTAACATTTTGTTAAAGTTTTGGTTATTTACAAAAAAAAAAAAAAGGAAAAAAAAAACACATTAAACAGCACGAATACGAATGAAAATAAAAAATAAAAAAGGAAATAAATAAGATAACCTATTATTAGTAAAAATTCATAAATAAATATACCTTCCATTCATTCCTACGTTGTAATATTTTGTTTGTTTCTTTTTTTTTTTTTTTTAAATTATAAAACCAAGGTTAAAGTTTGCATTGAGATGTTATTAAAATTATTGGGGAATTTAAAGTCCACTTTTGAGTAGGTAACCTTCAAAGTCTACGATTTAAATGCATAAAGAGAAACACCTACAAACACGTATGCACGTGCACACCTCACATGGCACATATATTTGGTAAAAGGGTAAGAAGAAGATGAATAAAAAACTAAAAAAAAAGGAAATAAACATTATTTGTGTACGCATGTGAGATTCGTTAATGGAGATTTAATATGCAGCCAATCAGATTAGCATAAACTCACGTTTTGTTCGATTATTATACCTCTCGATGATATTATCTTAATTTTTGTGATACTGAATTTCGACAAAATATCAAATAATCCTATATATTACTCAAACTCGTCACAGTTTATGCACATTCATTGAATATATATATATGTATGTATATTTTTTTATATTTTAAAAAAGATATTTCAGTATTTTCCCCTTTTTTTCGTATTCCGTATTTGGTTATGGGCCAAAAAAGGCTTGAAATGTCAACTTCGTTCATACGATATAAAAATGATTTTACATATATATATATATATACTTCTTTTCTTATTCTTTAATTTTTTTTATTAATTTTTTTTTTTTTTTTTTTTTACTTCGCATCTCCTTCGAATGTCTACTTTGTCAAAGGGGGGGGGGGAAGGAGGTTCGAGAAATCCTGCAATGAGTTGCGTAACAACTCTGGCTGCTGCTGGTTGTTTTATTTCTTATGTTTGTAGCCTTGGACAAGATGCTACGAGAAACCGTTCACCTACTACCGAAATTGGTAAATTGTATCGTTCTAATTATTTATTATTTTATTTATGACAGTTTTAACAATCCTCACACCCACCCACATACAACCACATATTCACTTGCATTGTAAGTGAAATAAAAAATTCATGAAATGTTCCAAGTGTTTGGAAAGTAAATTTACGTTTTCATTTTGAGACACATTTCGTGAAAAAACCAACTTAAAAAATGAAGTAAAAGATCTGTCATTGTGTAAAAAAGAACCCTTCAATAAAATAAAATAAAACCACATTCACATGCACTGTA